AGTTCAACTGCTGTTCCCATCACGTGGGTCTGCTTTTGCCTCCACGGGGTTCTGAAATCAAGTAGGCAGGGGTCCTGTCCTTCTCTCTGAGTCCCCAGGACCCGGCCGAGGGCCTGTCACTGAGCAGGTGCCACTGACTGACTAATAAAAGTGAGGATGACTTTATGGTATCAGAAGAGGATCCTGTAGGCAGACAAATAACCAGAGGCCAAAAGGGTGACTCTGTAATGGTGGCAATGTGACAGGTGGGAATGGGAGATACCCGCGTATGGATTAGTTGACCTGTGCCACATTAGGACAGACCCTTCCCCGCCCAAACACACATCATCATCCTTGCCCCTGCTCTCAGGCCCAGCTGCAGGGCCTTCCACGCTTGGCTGGGAGAGGGTCTCAAGGGGTCCTGTAACTAGAGAGCTGGCCTGGAGGCCTCTGGGATTGCGCAGGCTGTTCCTGCCTTGGTAGAGATGCTGACAACAAGCCCCGACGGAACTCTCAAGAGAGAAGAGGGTAGGGACTCTCTCAGTCCACCATTAAATGCTACCTTGTTCTATATCCCTTAGAACTGTCTGAATGGCCTGGGTTCCAGCTCGGGACAGGTTGGCTGTGTGACCTTGGGCAAATCACTTACTCTCTCTGGGCCTCAGTCTTTCATCTGCACAATGACCTGCTTAGGAGTCTAAACACTGGCGGTGTTTAGATTACTGTTCTTCCCTCTGGATGGCCCCACGCCATCTCCAACTGCCTAAGCACGTCCTCAGACAGGATAGTCCCATAAGGGCAGGGAATGGGCCTGAGTGGAGCCCAGGCCACCTACAGAAGGGATGGTTTGGGAGATGCTGAAACCAGCCACCACCTGTCACTCCAGCCTGACAGCTTGGGAGAGCTGGCGCAACCATGTGCTGAGCCTTGGGGACAGCAGTTGTGGATAGTCCCCAGTCTGGCCTTCCCTGGGCTCGGCTGTCCCACCTGTAGAATGGGCAGAAGGCTGCCACTGGCAGAGGGAGAGAAGAATGGGAGTCACCAGTCAATCAGAAAAGTGGCCCTTCCTTCAGCCCCCCCCACCCCGCCCCCACCATGTGAGCTCAGGGAGGAATCTGGAAATTGCCCAGGAAGTGGCTAGGTCACACCTCCATCCAGCAGGGGGGCTGGGTGGAAAATCCAGACTCTGCTGCCCCAACGGTGGGGGTTGGGATATGGGTGGCAAATGACCCTCCGGGAAGTTGTGGCCTCACAGGGGGACACCTCTGTGAGTAATCTAAGTTCACGTGGCCCAGTGTCACCATATTCTCCCTCCACGTGGGTTCCGGACTTGTCGGGCTTCAAAGGGAACCTCACCCCCTGTGTGGAGTGATGAAAACAGCCCAGCAGGGGAGAGGTGAGGGGGCACCGGCTGCACAAACAGCGGCCCCCATGGGGCCTGGCCTGGCCTGGCCTCTGTGGTCTGAGCCTGATTACTTGGGTTTTCTTCAGCTGGCTGCATGGCAGACACACAGACAGGGCATTTGTGTGTTAGCAGCGTGCAAGCGGGTGGGCGAGGCCAAATCTGCCCACCGCCTGCTTTTGCTCAGCTCACGAGCTACAAGCGACCTTCACGTTTTTAAATGGTTGATAAAAAGAGAAGAATATTTCATGACCCGTGGAAATTACATGAAATTCAGATTTCGAGGTCCACAACTAGCTTTGGGAGAACACAGCCGCGTTCATTCGTTTGCATGTTGTCCGTGGCTGCTTTTACGTTACAACGGCAGAGCTACCACGGAGACCGCAGAGCCACAAAGGCTAAAATATTTACTTTCTGACCTTATCAGAGAGTCCGCCGGCTCCTACGTTAGGGCGCTAGCAAAGCTGGGGCATGCTGCTATTCCCCCCTCCCCAAATGAAAGTTCCGCTTCAATGAACTTAGCAAGCATTTTACAGTTTAAAAATCTACATAGAAGCTGTGTTCATTTCAGTACATATAGGTAAGCTTTGAGTTTTACAACTTTATATTAGTGTGTGTGTGTGTGTGTGTGTGTGTGTGTGTGTGTGCGTGTGTGTGTAAGAAAGAGCGAGAAACCATAATCTTTTTAAGACTTGGGACCTCCCAATCGTTTCTCACGCATCCATACTGTCCAAAACATACTGTCTAAGCCTGTGATTTTTATCCCACAAACCTCGGTGATTAGCCGAGGTTTGTGGGATAAAAATCACAGGCTTGGTTCTCTCCATCCATCCAGAAAACCTGTTAGCAAAGTGACACTTGCGCATTTCACAGGTGTGGAGACTAAGGCCTGGAGAGGTGAGGACACCTGCCTGAGGCTCTTCCTCGAACCATGAACAGTGAAGACGAGATGTCTTTTCTTGACACTGATCTGCTTCTGAGAGAAGTGGGGAGCACACCACAACATGCGGTGGGGAGGCATGGTGCCCCTCCCTCCAGTGGTTGTCTCTGCATTCCCGGCATTTTAGGTCCCCTGCCAGCCCCATCTGTTCCCAGGCCTTCCTCCCTCGCTAGGGGGTCCGGGCAGGCTCCCAGGAGCGCATGGAGGGATGAGTGTTTTTTTCCCTTTTCCGGCAAACAGGGGCAGGTGTGGAGTGAGCAGCTCCGGGGAGGGGTGCGGGAAAGTGACTGAAGCTAAACTTCCGGGGGATCCAGTTGAACCACGGAGAGTAAGGGGCCCGCTGGAAGAGAGAATGGAGGGAGTTTGGGGAGCTAGGAGCCCAAGTGGGGGTGCTGGGAATGAAATGGGGCATCCTCGGGTGGGGCTATCCTTGGTCTAAGGACCACCACCCGCCCAAGCCGGGCCCTGGGAAACTTCCCCGCCCAGCACGAGCTGTGAACCCGCAGAAAGCCACACAGCAAGCCAAGGAGAAAAACCACCTCCTTCTGCTGTCAGACCCCTGCTTCCACCAGGGGAAGTTCCAGGAGACACCAGAGAGAACGGGTCAGGGGTACCTAGCACTTCTCATCTCTCTGTCAGAGACTCAGCGGCTCTCCGGAAGAATGGGCGTGAGGACTCGACGGTGACTTGCTCAATCAACGCAAAGCCCGTTTCGTGGCTGTCCAGGCCTTGTTCCAACCTCATCCTGCACCACCGACCCCGCGTAAGGAGGGATTTCCATCCCTCCTAACAACCGCCAACACCCGCTCGCCCCGTCCCTACTGCCTCCATCACTCCAAACACAATGGACTGGAATGTACCCTGCTTCCCACCACAGGGCCTTTGCATCGGCTATTCCTCCACCCGGCACCCTGTCCCCCGTCGCTCACTCTGCGGACTTCCGTTCTAACATCCCTTCCTTGAAGGAGCCTCCCATGACCACCCCAGACCAGCTGCATTTCACAGTCTCAGACCTACCACTGAGTACCTGTGAGATTATGTTTGTTTACTCCCCCACTCCACCGGGATCTCCAGCACAGGTCTGCCCGTGGTCACCTCTACTCAGGACCCTGTCTAATTGGCTCTGTGCAGTATTCTAGGGCTTAGCATAGAATTAGACACAGCAGGAAATCGATAAGTGATCAGACAGCGGCATGAATGAATGATTGGCATCACCAGTGGCTGCAGTTATGGAAACACAGACGTACAGAGAAGTAATGTCAATAAACCTTTTGTGTGTGTGTATGTGTGTGTGTGTGTGTGTGTGTGTGTGTGTGTGGATTTGCCTGTGTTCCAGAGCAGAGTTATCCACTAGAACTTTCTGCGCAGATGACAACGTTCTGGATCTATGCTGTCCAATATGTCAGCCATGAGACGCAAGGGGCTACTGAGCACTTAAAATGTGGCCAGTGGGACTGAGGAACAGAATTTTAAATTTTATTTAATTTTAATATATGTAAATTCAAATAGACACATGTGGTTAGTGACTGCCATATTGAGTGGCATAGCTTTAGAGAGAGGGGACATGTCTGAGTGTCTCCAAGACTGTTACTTGCAGTTCTGCCATCCAGAGATTCACAGGAAGTCCCCCAAACCTCCACCAGCTGGTCCTTGGGGTCAAACATGACAAAGATTCTTTGAAAACCTGCAGGAGGCAGAGACTCACCATCCCCCGCTGCCCACCATGCTTGTCATGGGGACCACCAGGCAACAACGACTCGGGGAGATCTCCATGGTGATGGCCCATCTCCAGAATGAGAATGCTGGGACTGGACCTCCCCATTTTTCTCATCATCATCACTTATCACACGCCCAATAAGACTGCCATCGACCTCATTCTCTCCATCATTACCACCCTGGCACAACAGCCCCAAGACAAACACCAACGCAGCCATCGGCACCACCACCAACCCCACAACCAATGGAGTACTGATGTCACCACCAACACTATCTCGTCCATCATTTCCATCCCTCTCCACATCCGCCAACACCCGCTCGCCCCGTCCCTACTACCTCCATCACACCACCCCAACACCCCAACACCGGATACCGAGAAAGAGCCTCGGCTCTGGAATTCAACGGCCTGGGCTTAAATCCCAGCTCTGAGAGTAAATTGCTCAGCGTCTGTGAGACTCAGTTGCTTCAGCTGTAAAATGGGACTAATAACACCATAATAAGACTTACTGTCTGTGATTGTTAGGGGGAAAAAAATCAAACGAGGAAGTACAGGGACAGTCCTTTTACTACGATCATTGAGTTCTAAGGTTGTTCTAAATGCTGTGCTCAGTGAGCACGATTTTATTTAATCCTCACACGGCTGCGAGAGATAATAATCCATTCACTTCACAGGTGAGGAAACTAAATCTAAGGGACGTGCTAGAACTTGCCAAAGGCCCTACAACTAAGAAGCTAGATTGGAACTGACGTCTTAAGTGGACCAGGCTAGGCCGTCCTCTTTTCTGGGAAAAGGGAGGCTGGATCAGCAGATTGGCCGGCCTGCAGCTCCAGGTTCCCTTCTCAGGGATGCTGAGGGATTTCAGCATCCCACTGGGAAAGATGGTGGTCGGCGGTGATGGTGGTGGCGTCTGTGTCTCCGCCGGGCCTGGCGGGTAGGGCGGGGCGGGGAGCGAGTCCACTCACCTGTGTCCTGGCGAAACTGGTGCATGGACTGCAGGTCGATGATGTAGGGCACCAGCTGGGCATCCACCTGCCCCAGCACCACGGAACCGCGGGCATCCTCCTTGAGCACGTTCTCGATGTGGTGGCACACGGTGGCCGTGTAAGGCCGCCAGCGGCTGTGCTCGTTCAGCCACTCCCACACCACCACCCGGGCCACATTCTGCGGTGGGAAGCCCAGCCCCGTGACGGGCATCATGACACCCTGGCCTGGCCGTGACATGGCCGCTGCCGCCTCAGGGGCCAGGACCCTACTCTTACTGGCCCAGTTCCTCCTGGGCCTGGGAGCAGGCGGGGAACTTCCTCTCTCCCCAGGAGGGCAGCAAGAGCTGTCCCGCCTCCTTTCCCACGCCCGGTCCTCTGTGAGGCCCGGCAGCCTCAGTTAAATGAGTGAGGGGTGGTGTTCCAGCATCCAAGGACCCCTTCCTGGCCCGGGTGTCTCCAATAAAGGGTGCTGCTCTGGAAATCGAGCGTCTGTCTTGAGGTGGGAGAAACGTTGCTCTAAACTCCTTGGTTCTCTGGCTCACATAAGGGATTCAGGCAGCCGCCCCTACCCTAGGTCCGGTCTCTTGCTCGCCGGTCTCCCGTCCTTCTTCCCGGCGGCGGCGCAGGGCCTGTCACCCAGGAGGCCCGGCCCCAGCCTGCTGCTCTCTGCGGCACCGAGCCAGCCCTCTGCGCTCCCAACTGCGTCCCAGACTCTGCGCCTGGCTCCAGTGGGGCTGCTCGTCTCGTCTCGGGTCCGCCCCCCCGACGGCTCCTGATGAAGGGGGCGTCCCTGTCCCCCTGGTACCCACTCCACTGTGTCCTGGAAGGCCTGGGTGGCTGAAGAACGCGCTGGGGAGGAGAGCGGCGCGTGCCCCAGGCCCGCTGGCCCGGCCTGCGGCTCCGGAGCTGAGCTGGGGGGACGAGGGGGGCGGGGGCCCGTGGGCACGCCCCACCCCACTCGTGCTCGCGACCTGCCGGGAGACAAGAAGGGGAGAGGGCCCTTTAAGAATAGAGCGCGGCACCCCCTCCCCCTTCCCGGGAGAGCGATCGGCTGAGAACAATGGGGAACCGATGGCGGGGGGCAGCAAGGGGGCTAAAGGGGGTCGCTGCCCGCGTCCCCCTGGGGCAGGCCTGAAGGGAGGGCTCGGCTGGGAGCGCGATTTTTCGAGACTCTCGTCTGTGGCCCCCCTCCTCAGCTCCTCCGGCGCTCCCCTCCCCCGGGGCCCGCGCCCCGGCGGGGGATGCAGGTGCGCGGGGATGCGCCTGGATGAGCCGCGCTGCAGGCGCGGCCCAGGGCCCCTCCGGGGGTCGCGTCACGGAGGAGGAGAAGCCAACGGCCGGATGGTCGCTGCCTCCCACCCCGGGGGGAAGTGCCCCCTCTCCCCAGCCCAGACCTCCCCGAAGCGCGCGCGGGCCCCCGCAGGAGCCGGGGGTGCGGTCCCTCCGCACCCCGCACTCTCACCTCCTCTCCTCTGCTCTGCCTCCCTCTCAGGCTCGCGCTTCAG